TGCCAAAAAAAGAGAAAAGCCTATAGTTTCAGGTCTGTTTCTTGAGCTTTAGGAGTGTTTTCTGGTTGAGTCTGATGGGGTGCCACACCCTGGCCCCAAATTCTATTTTTGGCATTCCTCAGGGACTTCGTTGCTTTGCTCCCCTTGCTGCTCTGTTGCACTCTCTTTGTGTTTCGCCCCGGTGTGCTGTGGGCAGATTGGGTACAATTCCTGCACTGTGTCTCCACTGTTGTTCCCTCTAGCGCTGTGGGTCGTGTCTTGTGATGGGCCAGCCCTAAGACTTCTTTAAAGGGCCAAAAAGCAAGGAAGTTACTTTGAGGACTAAGGTGTGCCTGACACAAGCTGTGGCATTTTCATTTGCCTGATAGGAATGCGAAAGTTAGACATTGAATAAGGAAGATTGAAGAAGAATTAATGCATTTAAATTATGATGCTGACAAAGCATGTTGAAAGTCCCGTGGACTACCAAAAGAACAAAAATACCCGTCTGGGGAAGAAGTCCAGCAAGAATGCTCTTTAGAAGCAGAGACTTCATCTCAAGTGCTTTGCACATATTTTAAGGAGAGGTCAACTGTCAGGTTCGACCAGCCCCTAACACATCATCACGGGTCCAGTAAGTGCAATTGTACAGCGATAATAAGTACGGATTACAGTAAAGCCATAGAGAGCATGAGAGATAGAAGAGATTGAAATAATGGAGTCAGACACATTTCATAGCATGCTCACCTCAGCCTCACTTGGTGGTCCACATGGAGAGAGATATATTTATTGCTAACCAAAGCTTTTATATTCTCTGGGGATGTGAAAGCTCCCTAATTACAGGTGAAGACATATGTCACAGGAAAGGGTTGTGCTGTAGGTAATATAGTAATGGGAGAGGGGTGATCTAGGGCTTCATATGCTATTGGAAGAGGAGGGAATAAGGGTATACATGTGACAAGATGGGCAATCCCTAGATTCATGAAGGTGGCCTAACTTGGGATGTCACTGAGCAGGTTTGACCTGTTCTCTGACTCACTATAGAAACCATTATCAGTAGGGTGTAAACCTACTACCCTGCAGGGACCAAACTGATGGTTTGAAAGCCTTTAGGGAGAAGTAGCCCATTGTCCTTAACAGCAGGGAGTGGGCCCTACTTGTGGTGGGACCAGACAGTAGTCTGGCAACTGACTGCCTTCAGGGAGGTAACTTGACAATCATTTACCATTAGCTGCTAGCAGTGTCCCAAGTCTAACGTTTATTTTGGGGAGACGACTTGGGAGAAATCCTTCTGTTTCCCACAGTCAACCACTGAAAAGGACCTCGTACTTGGTAAAGAAGAAGGGCAGGGAAAAATAGGAAGGCCCTTGTCAAGATGGATTGACACAGTACCTGCAACAATGGGCTAAAACTTAAGAACAATTGCGTGGATGGCTCAAGACCAGGCAGTGCTGTGTTTAGTGGTACAGAGAGCCACTATGTGTTGGAACCAAATCAACGGCTCCTAACAAGAACAACAACATGTTAATCCATTCATGTGATTCATCACATTAGCATTTTAAAAGAGATAAAAATCATCAACTAGCAAAATCAGTCCAATTTAATGTAAAATGTTTAACAAATAAGGCATAAAAGGAATTTCTGTAGGATGCTTATTTCAAACTTATAACAACTATTACACTTAATGGCTAACTATTTTAGAAACTTTATTTAAAGTCAAGTATAAGACAAGGACAATCAGTTTAGCAACTTCTTTTAAAAAAAGGTTTATTGATATATAATTCACATATCATACAATTCAATAGTTCAATCATATCAAGAAAAGCTGTCCAATGATCACCATAATCAATTAGAGAACATTTTATTCATTTTTGTACTCATCATCATCAACTCCTCATTTCCCCTCAATCTCCTCTGTTATAGCCAAAAGGAACCATTAATCCAGTTACTGACTTTACATATTTGCCTATTCTGAATTTCATATACAGAAAAATAATAAAACAAATAAAAGCCATAACAACAATAACAAAGTAAAACAGATAGAAACCTCAATTATAAAGAAAGCAGAAAATATTAAAAGCTAGACAAATGTAATATGATTCAAAAGGGAGATCAAAGGATCAGCATTAAATTTTAACTTAACTCCATCTGCAACCATCCATTGTCCAATGCATTCTGCATGATAGCAGGGCTGTTCACATTCTTGGTCTATGATCACAGGGGACTCACTACAGGCTTAATCTACATACATTTCCTTTTCACTGAAACAACTTTAAAATGAGCCAAAAGGGAGATCCACTGATAAGATATTACATTTAAACCTAACCACAACTGCCACAATCAACTTCACAATGCTCTCTGTCTGATAACAAGGCTATTCATATCCCTCCATCATAGTCAGAGGGGATTCACTTCAGGCTTAATCCATGTGTGGACCCTGCAAATGGGTTTCGAGTTTCTAATGTCATCCATAATCTTCTGAAAACCAGCTGTTCACAATTTAAGCTCTGATAATATTCATCAGCTTAGTGTTGTATAGTTACAATCCTTGGGTCACACAAGCTGGCATCCTTTTTCCATGTGGACTTAGTTGATGCCTCACTTAGAAAGCTGCTTGTTTGAAGACATCCCTGGAAGACTTCAGATGCTAGTCCTTCTGGTAACCAGGCACCATCTAGTGTCTTTACCACACTTTGCTGTAGCACCCATATCTTCAGTGATCTTTACATGAAACTGATCATCAAGCAAGGTCATATCATAAAAAGGAATCATTCTTTGGGAGACCAAAATCCATTCATGTATCTATGGCTTACATCTGTCTCTGGTTCACTTTAGAGATCAAGATAATTTTATGATCAAGAACATAATAAATCATCCCCTCTGAGTTTGTTCACTTTAGCAACTTCTATGCAACAATACTCTAGTGTCCCTAACTAACTCAACATGATGAAAAGGATTGGGGGGAAAAAAAGCCCAAACAAGCCTATCATTATTTATAATCAGTGCTCTTCAGCAGAACTACTATGTGAACCACAGTGCTAGTCAGATGTGTCATTTAACAATTTCTAGTAACCACAGTTAAAAATAATGAAATTTATTTCAATAATATATTTCACATAAAAAATCCATATTCGAAACAATATATCTTTTTAACATATCAATATGAAATTATTAGATATTTTATACTCTCTCTTTACATGAAGCTCTAAAACATCTGCTTATATTTTACCCTGATAACACATCTCAATAGCTGTGTTTAGTTGTGACTACCATCCTGGAGAGCACATTGTATAGACAACATAATTATCTACATCGTAAATGGAAGCCAATCTATAGGCAAAGACTTTACAAATTAAAAGGAAAGTTCAGCAATGTTTTTGTATTGATGATTAGTACATAAATGGTCAATGATATTCTTATGTAATGCCCACAATATCTAAAAATGTCATTTTAATATGAAATATACTTTAAATAACAATAAAAGTAAACGATAACCAAAATCAAGTTGGGCACAATAAGCAAACTGTACTGAAAGATCTGTAAGTGGACCTTCTTGGACTCTGACACCCCTGCTACAGCTGTGGGACTGTGGTGGACATTCTCCTCGCCTTGCTCGGATGCCCTGAGCCATCTATGAAGCAGCCTTGGACTTCACATTCGTTTTCTAGGACTGCCATGAAAAGAATGAAGGAAACAACAAAAATGTATTGTTTCATCGATCTGGAGCCTAGAAATTCGGATTCAGGGTATGGTCTGGATCATAGTTCCACTGAGGCGTTGGGGAAAGTCCTTCCTTGCCTCTCCCAGCATCACTGAGTTGTAGGTTTTCCTTGAAAATTGAGTTTGGAATTGAAAACTGTGTCAAAAGTATCTTGTTAGGAGTATCAGGCTTAGGTTCCAGCTGAGCAATAGATATAAATTCAGATGAGATCCAGTTAGTTAAAGGAATTGAATGAAGATGTAATAGGATTTCTGGGATGAATAGATTGTTAGTGTCTGTTGTGGAGCTAAAGGTTGTCTTTCCCTAAGGAGCAGTAGGCCTTTGCCAGACTCGGCTGTCTTTTGAGCCGAAATAAGTTTTATGATAGAAGAGTTTTCCTCATTGGATAAGAAAGCATTGAGCAGACATGATAGGGTACGGATAAAAACAGTAAGAAATCAGAAATAGAAAACAGACTTCTCAGGAGCAAAAAAGAGAAGTCCTGTCACAAAATTAGAATTTTGGTGATTTTTCAAAGGCACACTCCAAATGTCTTCTCTACAGGACTTTATCCTTGCTCTAACACATCTTAATTAGTTAGCAACAAGTTGATTTCGACTCACAGTCACCCCATGGGTGTCAGAGTAGAATTGTGCTCCATACAATTTTCAATGACTGTGTATTTAGATCATAAGGCTTTTCTTCAGAGGTGTCTGTGGGTGGACTCAAACATCCAACCTTTCAGTTAGCAGCCAATTTCATTAGCCTTTTACACCACCCAGGGCACTTGCTGTATGCCCTACATTTTCAATACAAACATGTACAGTTGAAGCAAATGTACCCCAAACAGGCAACAACATGCCCTTCCTCTTGTTCATAGATTCTGCTAGTGAATTGCTTTGTAAATTCAGAGAAGAGTCTGAAAGAATAATACAGAAAAATATTTTTAACATTCAAAAGTAACTATTTTTTATTATTAAATCATTTTTTAGGGGCTCGTACAATTCTTATCACAATCCATCCATCCATCCATTGTGTCAAGCACATTTGTACATTTGTTGCCATCATCATTGTCAAAACATTTGCTTTCTACTTGAGCCCTTGATATCAGCTCCTCATTCTTCCTTCTCCCTCCCCGTTTCCCCATGAACCCTTGATAATTTATAAATTATTATTGTTTTGTAAATTAACTATTTTTACTGAGACTAAAAACTCCAAGCAGTAAACCCTGAAGGAGATGCAGCTTGGGGTTGCAGCTGCGCACGTCTTCAGTCTCTCCCTCTGCACATTCAAGTTGTGCTTTCTCCTCTTATAGATTTCCCTAAATGCTTCTTCTGGGCATTTCACAAATCCGGAATAGGTTGAAGAAACAAGGTACATCATTCCAGTTTTTCCTGGGATTTGAAGAGTCTCTAATGGTGGTGCAATCCTCTAGTGTAACGATGTTATTAGGCTCACCTTCATCCCAGAAACTGAAAGAGAGTGCCACGGGAGAGGTTACTGCCCAGCCACGTGTCCCGAAACACTAAGCACATTACGTTTATGTTCGCTCACAAGGGATGTAGACAAAACACTAACGTAATTGATGAAGAAGTACACTCTCAGTCGTATCAAACGATTTGCCCCAAATCATAGAGCTTGTGACTAGTGGAGCTAAAGTGGATCTTTCTGACTTTTTATTTTGTCGTGACAGAGTGAGAAGCTAGGGAAGGGCTGATCGCTTGACTCTTTGCTCCCCTTGCACTTTCAGTTGACCTACCATCACGCTTCGTTCGCTGTCCTCTACAGAAAGCATGTATTAATTCAGGTGCACCTTCAGTGGTGTTACATGCTGAGTAAAGGAGGTGGGTGTGGGTAATAATCTTAGAGCCTCTGCTTACCAGCCGTGTAATCTAGGGGAATTCTTCACATGTTAAATTAAGATTAATCATATCAATACAAATCAAACAGCAAACTCACTGCCACCGAGTCGATTCCGACTTATCGCGATGCTGTAGGACAGAATAGAATCGCCCATGTAGGTTTCTGAGACTGGAACTCTTTATGGGAGTAGAGCCTCCTCTCTCTCACATGGAGCAACTGGTGGTTTGGAACTTCTGACCTTGCAGTTAACAACCCAACCCAACGTATCACCACTCTGCCACTAGGGCACCACAGAGGTGTTGTTTACACGAACGAATGAGACACACACATGGGGAAACTCCAAAATCCTATGTATGATATAGTATTTTGATGTAAGGTCATTGTTAAGAGTGTAATGGGGGCATTATCAAGATGTTCCCACATTCATGTCATAAGATTCGCTGTCTTTCTCAAACACTATTTTTAACTTTAGGGCCTAAGAGTCTGAGGTCCATTTTTTCTGTCCTGCACCTCCAACGAATTATTCTTCTGTTACGATCCTTTCTTATTCTCATCGATTGTTCTCCTTTATTCTTGAGACAGTCCCAGAAATGTGAGAGGAAGGGCACCGTGCTTCTCTTTTCTTTCTTTTAGACCAGCCCTTCCCATTCCTGCACTGACTGCCTCTCAGGGTGGATCTCCCATTAGCCCACGGGACGGAATGCAGGGTTTTAAAAAACTCGCCTGGCAATGATGTAACGTTAGGGTTAATGTTAGAATTCCCCTGCAAGCAGGAAACTGTAGGTTTTCCCTTCTACTGGAAAGTAGTGCATTCCAATGAAATGTTATATAAATGGAAATGTTATAAAGCAAAGAAGCAATCACAATGAATTTTTATGTAAGAAAATTGTGAGTGTTCCCATATTACAAAATCACCTACCCAAATCATACCAAAAAAACCACTGACAACTTAGAAGATGAGTAACGTATAATGTTTGCAGACATAGTTCAAAGTGATGGAGACTTGATATCAAGCTGAGGTGTTGGGTGTAGTTCCCAGGAAGGAGCTTGGCTACGGATCTCTCATCGCTTGGGGTGTGAGCCGCCTCTGTTTTACAGCAGGCTGTAAAAGATACTGAACGCTAATTTCACTTTTCACCTTTTGATATATTTTCACCTCTTCAAATGTTCTTTGGTAAGCGAAGACAGGTACTAATGTAGGCCATTCACAAAAGGGAAGTTGTACAAAATGAACTTTTGAAAAGCAGAGGGATTTCTGTACCTGAGAGACTCATTGAAAGGTGTGTCATCTACCCATTTCCACTTGCCTTCCTCTACCTGGTCCGTCAGGCCGATGTAGAACTCTCTCCTTCTAGGTTTTGTACGGTAAAGGAATTCCTATGGAAGATATTCAGTCAACAAGTAGGAGTTCAACTGGTTTCAATTCTGTACCAATGTTAAGGGTAATTTTTATCACAAAAGGATGTGCTAGAGGTGATAGATAAAAGTGCCAAAGTCACAGATCAGGAAGAATCATTTTCTGACTTTAAACTGACAAAACATAACTGTCCACAGAGAAGGTGATGCTCAGTAACTCATCTGAAGTGTATTAGCTGCTAGTGATAGTGAAATCTATTGCATGTGTCTGGCATAAAACACTATTGATAAAATACAATGGGAAATATTTGCTTACCCCTTTTGATATGATATATTCATAACCATCATCTGTTGTGGCTCTGTGCAGTGAACATTGGACTACTAACTGTAAGGTAGGAGGTTCAAACCCATCGACTATTTTGTAAGAGAAAGATGAGGCTCTCTGCTTCTGCAGAATTACAAAAGCCTGGGAAACCCCCAGGGTGCTGGAGTCAGAATGGAATCAATGGCAGTGGGTGGGTTGTGGCTTATGTGCTGCTATGATGCTGGCTGCTGTGCCCCCAGTATTTCAAATGCACAGGACTACCCGTAATGTTTCAGTAGAGCTTCCCGAAGGACAGACTAGGAAGAAAAGTCTGGTGATTTACTTCCAAAAATAAGCCAACAGAAACTTTTTAGATCACAAAATATTTTCTCATTTGGTGCTGGATGGTGAGGCCCCTAGGTTGGAGGACACTCAAACTCCACAGGGATGACAACAAGGGCCTTGAGCATCCCGAAGGCCATGGAGATGGCGCAGGAGAGCAAGAACAGCAGCAGTGCTCATAAACATAAAGGTCTTGTAAAATGAACTGTCGCCCTTCCACCCCTTTTAACTCCCTAAATTATAAAAGAACTCGTTGAAATTCCCTTGTTTTACATACTTCTAAAAGTGGAAATAAGTTAACCCAGATACGGATAAGGCATACATTTATAGGCATTTCTATATATTCATCTAACAAATAGTAATTGGGGGTCACAGTGTGTGTATAGGGAGAACGATGAGACCTCCTACTCGTGTAGAGTGACAGTTTCCGAAGCTCACAGGGACAGGTCTGTCCTAAAGTGTCACGATGAGTCGTCACCGACTCGTGGGCAGTGAGTCTGGTCTTGGTTTGGTGCCTGTGTACGCACAGATCCCTGTTGGCCCAGGGGGTCATGTGTTGGGCATGTGTTTCACAGGAAGGCCAGCAGTTCAGAGAAGCCACAAGCAGACGTCTCAGGAACTCACAGGGACAGCTGCATTCTGCCTTATCGGGTCCAGTGAGTCAGAATGAACACAGTGGGCGCGAGGTCTGTGTTTTTTCATTTTCGTGTGCATGTAGCAAAGAGGGATGGACCTGTCAAGGATGCTAATTGATAGAGGAAGTTGGGCCCCGACTACCTGCTCCTCTTGAGTGTTGATAACCACCAGCTGAGCCCCCATGTCCAAGCAGCTCCTGAAACTTAGCGGCCAGGTCCTGGTGTCGGCAGAAAAGAAGTAGCAGCTGGACCGAAAATGTTCCCAGTTCAAGGGACAGCAACTCTTGACGGAACCTAGAGGAGAGAGGCTGGCTCAGTGAATGTCCCGGATGAACTGAGCAACGGAGTAAGCTCTGCCTGGGTCATACAGCCCGTCGCTTCAACAGTCAGAAGCCTGAAGTCTCTTGTCTACGTCTGACTGCTTATGAGCTAAGGCTTGATGTAATTCCTCTGCCAATAAATATGAACTGAAATTTGTTCGTCTTTTTGCAACGACTTCATAATTCTTATTTTCTAGACGATGATGCCAGTATATGAAATCATTGATGTATTTTGTTTGTGATAAATCATACATGTGACCCTCCGTTGCTTTTCCCCCTTGTGCATCTCATTAGGAATACGTACTACATAATATAATGCTGAAGCATGTAGTTTGTTAATGCTTTCAACCGCATGCCAATCCCCAGAGACAATTAAAGATTGGATATATAAAAATATGGATAATAAATAAGAGGGACTAATAATGAAAAATAAAATAAGAAATGATGTATTCGACTTAGGTCAGAAGCAATTTATGTTGGAGATGTCAGAATTTGGGGACTACCTGTAAACACTGTATCTCTGCTGTGCACTTCATCACGAAGCCTATGGTCTGTGACTCGCTGCCAAGGGCAGAGAGAATGATGTGCTTTAGATGATGATTCCTTGGGTTGCCCACGGGCCTCAACTAAATTTCTACTCTCTGCACAGATGAAATAATTGTCCAGCATTGCTAAATGGCACCCTTAGAAGGCTAATTAAAAGTAACTACCACCGGTATCGCCACTTTCACCACTGGTCCTGAAGGGATCATCCACCCTGGATTCCCTGTGTTTCCGGTTCCTATCTGTAGCAGGGTACATCCTCTGGTCTAGCCAGACTTGTAAGGTAGAATTGGGATCATGATACTGGGGTGGTGGGGGGGTAGGTGCATTTAAGAATTAGAGGAAAATTGTAGGAGGGAAGGTAGGGTAGAAAGGTGGAACCGATTATAAGGATCTACATATAACCTCCTCCCTGGGGAAGGACAACAGAACAGTGGGTGAAGGGAGACGTCGGGCAGTGTAAGACATGACAAAGTAATAATAATTTATAAATTATCAAGGGTTCATGAGGGAGGGGGGACCGGCAAGGGAGGGGGGAAAATGAGCTGATACTAAGGGCTTAAGTGGAGAGCAAATGTTTTGAGAATGATGAGGGCAATGAATGTACAAATGTGCTTGACACAATTGATGTATGTATGGATTGTGATAAGAGTTGTATAAGCCCCAATAAAATGACTTAAAAAAAAGTAACTACCTGAAATGCTCTCAATTTAAAGATGGGATGACTATAGCCCAGAGAAGAAAGTCTCTCTTCTAGTGTCATGTAGCATCTCGGAATGTGACAAGACTCGGAACAGGGCTGTATCAGAGAGCACAGGACATGTGTTTGTGAGGCATTTCTAAAGTTTCTACTGTAGGCATTTTTCCTCCATTTCATTTTGGAAACAGATGATGAATTTTAAAAATGAACACTCTTCAGTATACTCCTTCCATTTACACAGATGTTATAATCATTCCAAAAGTTCGCTATAATGATCACTCCAAGATTCCTGTGTTTTCAGAGTTCTACTCTGGTACTTTTATCAACTCCTCCTCATTCTCTGATAGCACAGGCAAGCTTTTACAATTTGTTTTTGAGAAGCAAGTGTAACTATCCTTACCTGGCAGTCCAGATACCCAGAAATTGTCCACTTGTAAAATTGTAGGTTGAAGTTAAAGGATTATTATACCTGAGTTGTCATGGTGGCAGGGGAGTTCTGTAATATTTTCATATGGCTGGAACATTTCCTCATCACAGAAGGTCCTATATGTCACTGTAAGAAAAAGACGCCAGTCAATGATCATTATTCTTTTTCAATAATAAATAATTTAAAATTTTATGATGTTACGAACGCTCAAACGATTATCATGATAGTATTTCCCTATGTATTTTTACTTCAGCATGGAATAGGGATTCATTTAAAGAAGGAAAATATCTTTATGAAAAATTCCCAGAGCTCACTGAAGTTTAATAATCACTTGACACTCGCTGGGCTCCCTGACTGGAAGAGGTGCATGGAAATGAATAGGAAGCCCCTTTGTGAGAGAAGTAAGCCTACAGGTACCAACAGAATGTTTACTCCCAGTAGTCAATAGGGAGAGCTAACCTGAACTGTGTTAGACAGGCTTCTCTAGAGAGATAAAACCAGATTGCTGATAATTATATATATATGTAAAGATATATATACATATATAACACAAGAAATGAACTGTTAAATTATATACAGATAGATATAGAATACAAGAAATGAACAGTTAAATCATAAAGCAGAACCCACCAATACATCTGGCAACAAAGCAGGCGCTGAGAAGTAGGATGGAGACTCCGGCAGTGGTCCATACACACACTTCAGAAGAGAAGAATCCTCCCTCTGTGAAAAGAAAGATGCAAACCTGATCTCTCTTCTCTAAGCAAGGCAAAAACGATCCTTATGCATCTTTACTTGATTCCCTCCATTCACACTGTAGCCGATAATTTTTCAGTCTTAACAGTTTGGAGGGCATGTCAAAGAACAGATGGCCGAGCCTCACTCTTAGAGTTAACTGAGTAGTCAGGCAGGGGTAGAACCAACAAGTTCCCGGGAGCTGCTGTGGCTCCTCATGGTGCAAACTCCGTACTTTTAGACTGACTCATGAAACTCAAGAGCAAGCAATTTTTCCCTTTAAAACCTGCTTTTATCTTTTTTCAGGGCTCCCCTTTCTTTCTTCTCTCTCTTTCCCTTTCTCGCCCTGCCTCCCAGCTTTTTAAAATTTTGCCCTGCTCTCCTCTCTTCAGTGCCTCCTTTTGTCTGTCCTTTGTAAATGAAATCATTGGTCAATGAGTCAGTAAGAGCATCGGGGCTCGTCTAGTAGTTCTTCTCTTCCTGTCAATATGCATTTTACAAATGAGGAAAGTGACGCTCAGAGAAGTGAAGTGACTAGTTCAAGGTCACACAATGACTTACAGAAAGAGCAGGCAGAGAAAGCTGGTAACTCTCTCTGGTCTCCAGCCCAGAAAACTTTCCAGTAGATCAGAAACTCTCCTACATTTCCTTCTTTCTCACCGCCTCTTCTTCCCCCACCACCCCTTCTTTTCTTTCTTCGCTTTCCTGCATACTTATGTCTCGTCTATTGCTCTTTATCGTGTCCCCCAGAAAAGGGTGCTAAGGAGGAAGAGGAAAAGTTGCACAAGTTACCTGTGCATGACGATGCAGACGATTTAGATGAACTCATTCTTCTGTTTTCTTTCTCTCCCTCTGACTTTTCTCCACTCACACTTTCTAAGTCCAGCTGTGTTTTGTTGGAAATGTTTAAGAAAACGAAATCTTCACAGATGGAAGCACACTTCATCTGTCCTTTGGGAAATTCAACTCTAAGACATAGGGATATTAACTTGTTCTGTGGCTGTATGTTTAAGTCAGGATTTCCTTTCTTACCTAAGACGGATGAGGAAGTGCACCAGGCACCCATGTTAGTTCCCCTTAATCCAGCAAACCAAGAAATGGGGAAATGATGTAATAGCAAGTCCACAAAATAGGTTGATGATGGGCAAATGTGAGAGCTATTTTTTTTTTAACATTTTATTAGGGGCTTATACAACTGTTATCCCAATCCATACACACATCAATTGTGTAAAGCGCATTTGTACATCGTTTCTCAAAAAATTTTCTCTCCACTTAAACCCCCGACATTAGGTCCTCATTTTTCCCCTCCCCGCTCCCCTCTCCCTCATGAGCCCTCGATAGTTTATAAATGGGTATTTTGTCATATCTTGCCCTGTCCGACGTCTCCCCTCACCCACCTTTCGGCTGTCTGTCCCCCAGGGAGGAGGTCACACACATTTCCATGTAATCGGTTCCCTCTTTCCTACCCATTCTCCCTTTACCCTCCCTGTGTTGCCACTCACACCACTGGTCCTATGGGGCTCATCCGTCCTGGATTCCCTGTATTTTCAGTTCCTATCTGTACCCGTGTACCTCCTCTGGTCTAGAGAGCTATTTTTTAAAATAATGCTTTATTTGGATTGATAAAGTTTCTTTGCTTTCTTCCATGCCTAATTCATTCCTCAAGTTCTCCTCCACCCTGTAGAGTTCCAAATCTGTTCATGGTCTATTCTCTCATTTCACTTTCCTTCTGAATTACCCACATTGGTAATCTGAAAATGAGTTAAATTCCAGAGCTGGCCCTCAGTGTTCATACTTGGCAATAGTGTCTATACTTATGAATTAGCAATGTAAATTTATTTTACTCTTTTATGCTTTTTCTTCTTTCATATGGAAGTTTTGATGAACATTCTAGTACTATAGATTTAGATCCTGTTTATCAAGGTCCGAGGTCCTTGGCTGGTATAAACCATTTGTGCTTGACTATTCACTTAACAGAGTCACGGTTAGAATAGTGGATTACCCTCCTGGACTGGTAACTACAAGGTCAGTAGTTCAAACCCACTAGCCACTTCAGTGGGAGAAAGATGAGGCTTTCCACTCCCGTAAAGAATTATAGTCTCAGAAACCCACAAAGGCATTTCTACCCTGTCCTGTAGGGTGGTTATGAGTTAATATTGACTTGACAGCAGTGAGTTATTTACCTTACAGGAGTCCTGGTGGCATAGTGAATTACTAGTTGAGCTGCTAACCTGAAGGTCAGCAGTCTGAAATCACAAGCAGATCTGTGGGAGAATGGTGGGGCTTTCTGCTCTTATAAAGACTTACAGCTTCAGAAACCCCTGGGGGTAGTTCTACTCTGTCCTATCAGCTTGCTATGGGTTGGAATCCACCCAATGCTGTGAGTGAGTTGTGAGACTTACTGAACAAATGGTCCTTCAAATGCCCTGTTTGACTTCTTGGAAGAAAGGCCTGATGATCTGCTTCCATAAAAGCCAATTGTCCCTCCTTGTCACTGGCCTACTTTACCGGCCTGATGTCCTTTTTCAGGGACTGGTTTCTGTACATGAGATAAAATTTCACTCTCCTTACTTTTAAGGAGCAGTCTGGCTGTACTTCTTGTAGTGTACTCAATATGTATACTACATATATATATGCATACTATATGTATACCTATATGTATAATATATGCATATATGTAATAGTATACTCAATATGCTTTGCCAATACCATAGTTCAGAGGCATCAATTCTTCTTTGATTTTTAACTTATTATCCAGTTTTTCCATCATAAGAGGTGATTTTAAATACCAGGGCTTAGATAAGGCACACCTTAGTCCTCAATGTGACATTTAAAAAAACACGTTGAAGATGTATTTTCCAGGAGATTTGCCCCAAAGCAATATATTGTTTGATTTCTTCACTGCTACTTCCAGGGATGTTGATTCGGTATCCAAGTAAAATGAAATCCTTGATAATGTCAGTCTTTCCTCCATTTCTCATGATGGTACTTATCAGTCCGTTGTGAGAATTTTGGTTTTCTTTATATTGCTGTGTAATCGCTTTTGAAGACTGTAGCTTTAAAAAATCTTCATCAGGACACGCTTCAAGTCCTTTCATAGTTCTCCAAGCAAGGTTATGTCATCGTCTATTGAATGTTTTAAAGGGATATTTCTCTAACCTGATGCTGCATCCTTCTTCTCACAGCCCACCTTCTCTGATTATTTGCTCAGTGTGTAAGTGAAAAAATGCAACCCTGAAGCACACTTCTCCTGATGTTAGACCATGCCTTATCCCCTGTTCTGTCCGCACAACTGCCGCTAATTCTTTGTTCTGGTTCTGCATGCGCACAAGGAAATGTTCTGGAATTGCCATTCTTCATAATGTTATCCATGATTTGTTATGATCCACAGTCAGATAATATTGCATACTCAATAAAAAAATGGATCTGCTTTCTATGTGCCACCAGCAAGGACATCTCTTGTTTCATGTCTTCTTTGGAATCTGACTTAAATTTCTGGCAGTTCCCTGTTGATGTGCTGCTGCAAGCACTTTTGAATGACCAAGGCAATATTATTTGCGTGTGTTATTAGTGATAAAATCAAGCCAAACTTACTGCCACCGAGTTGATTCCTACTTATAACAACCCTGCAAATCAGAGTTGAGCTGTCCCCGTGGGTTTCCAAGATTTTAACTCTTCATGGAAATAAAAAGGCTTATCTTCCTGCCACAGAGTGGCTGGTAATTTCGAAATGCTGGCCTTGCAGTTAGCAGCCCAATGTATAAGCCACCAGGACCCCTTACTATTAGCCATAGTCTTTATCATTGCCACCAAACGACTGCGTGTTGGAGGTGTGTGCGACTTCTTTGGGGATTGGTCAAGTTTGCCATTCTACTGGTATACCATGAGCCATCTCAAGACCATCAAGAAATAAGAGCCACAAGCAGAGTGGCTTTTGGACCTTAGTATTTCAGCTCAAAGAGACAGTAGTGATAGAGACAGCAACACTAAGAGCATGAGACAGGATGGCAGGCTTTCCAACCCACTCAAACAAACAAACAAACAAACAAACAACTCACTGCCATCAAGTTGATACTGACTCATAGTGACCCTAAAGCATGCAGAAGGAATAAAGTTGAGTGCCTCCAGGTGGGAGACACTGCAGAATGAGGTACCCTTTGGGTGTTTATCAGCATTAAAGGAGTTTTGTAACATTTGCTGGGGCAGGGCAGAGGTCCAAGAGTCACATGACTGAGAGGTTGAGGACCAGAGGGTTGTGCACCTGGTGGGAAGAAGCAATGCAGACAAAAGAACTCTAATCCTGCCTTGTAACCTTTTCGCTTTCTTAAAAAGCGCAGAGTCATAAATATTGTGTTATCTGTGAGTTCAGTGTAGTCACTGTCATGAAGTATTAAACACAGCAGAGAAGTACAGTGCCATGGGAATGACTGTTGGCATTAGAAAAGGGTAAAGAAGGAGGGAAGGTGGAGGCATGTCTGACTTTTGTCTAATAAGAATCATCCTTGGGAAAAATGTCCTTCCCCCACTATCGATCACTTCTAAAATCAGTTGGCAAGGTGGCTAGCAAGCTTCCCAAACTCTTGGCGGAGATGAGTGAAGGCTTCTAGCATTGCATCCATTTGTTGAAATATTTCAGTTGGTATCCTGTCAGTTCCTGGAGTCTTATTATCCCCCAATTATAATGTTTTCACCAATATCCAAGTGTACCTTGGATTGATTTCTTCATTATCATCACTCTTGGTCATAGGCTACTTTGTGGAGTCGTTGAGCCTTGGCCAATTCTCTTTGGTGCAGCGATTCTTAGTCTTCCTTCTGGTCATCTTTTGATGCTTCGTGTGTCTTTCAAGATTTTGTCCACAATACCCTTCAAAACTGCAACTCCAAAGTGAATGTTTTCTTCAGTTCTGTCAGCTTGAGATATACTAAGTGTGGCTGTCCATTTTGGTTTTTAAACTTCAGATCTGTTCACATTTCCTTATGATACCTTGCTTTCTCTCTTGGAGCTGCCTTTTGAAAGCTTCAGTGCAGCTCTTTTCTTCATCATTTCCTCCATTTTCTTCAGATACTTGGTCCAAGACCAAGTTTCCACATCTCTTCTGATATCCGCTCTGGTCTCTCTTTCTTTTTGAATCTTTTCATGACCTTTTATTTTCTTCAGGTATGATGTCTTTTGATGTCATTCCACGGCTTGTCTGGTCTTCAATGCCACTGGACCTTGCAATACTAACAGTCACTCCCTTGACGGTCAGGTTTCCGTAAAGTTTATAGACAATGACAGAGTAGGAAGGAGGATTTGGCAATTTACTTACAAGAAAAGTTAGTGAAAACGTTATGACTAGCAGTGGGGCTGACACAGTGCTGACAAATGAGCCTCCAGCTTGGAAGGTGGTTCAGGTCTTTTAGGTCATTCGCCGTTTCTTCAAAATGAAACTGGGAACCTTCTGCTGTAAAGATTACAGCCTCAGAAACCCGACGGAGCTTTTCTTCTCTGTAGTCTAGAGCTGCTGTGAGTCAGAAGTGATACATCCACAAGGCATTTAGATTTGTTTTACTGTAGACTGGTCAATTTTTCAGTCTATGCAAGGAGCCAATTCCATCGCAACCCTACAAGACAGACTAGAACTGCCCTCTAGCATGTCCAAGCCTGTACCCGTGACAGAAGTAAAGCGACACATTTTTCTCACTTGGAGAGGCTGGTGAACAGGTTAGTTAGCAGGCAAGTCCTTCACTCCCCAGAGTTCCTTGCAAAAGAGGAGAGATTCTTATTCATCTTCACTTATGACCTTCCACTCACAGTGTATGGAGTAATTCTCAAACTTTAGGACACGC